GGCGCTACAGTACGGTTGGGCAGAACGGCCGGCAGACTTCGGTCAATCTAGAATCGAAAAAGGTATTCCGCGACTTGCTATTCTCTTCTTGAGAGATAGCAGTTCGGGAATAGTTCCTGAGTTCGGTGAAGAGCGATCAAGAGAGTAATTTGCATAAGACTTCGAGATATGTTGGATGGAGCTGAAAACTTGGGTTGTGGCAAATGGCAAACAAAGGGAACGATTTGTTGGCACAACAGAGAATCATAAGACTTTGCGGGCAACGAAACCAGATGTTATTGATGATGAAGATCGGGAAGAATTGCAACAACGAGCGACATCAACCATATGTTTATGTCCGACAGATGAGGTTATGTATCACGTGATGAATTTAAAAATTCCAGGGAAGATATGAAATAAATTAGAAACTCAGTTTATGCCTAAATCTCGGAAGAATAAATTGTATCTGAAGTAAAAGTTGTATAGGCTGAAGATGCAATAATGTTTTGATCTGGCGCAGCATGTGAATGACTTCAATCAAATAATCACAGATTTATCACGACTTGATGTAAGTATTGAGGATGAATACAAAATAATAATTTTGTTGTGTTTATTGTCTTCTTTTTATAAATATCTGGTGACTACTCTGACATATGAGAAATAAACTATTAAAATAGATGAGATTACTGCAGCATTGTTGACTCACAACTAGCGGAAGCAGAATGCGGATGAAAACTCTCATGACGACAGTTTATATATTAAGGGTAATCATGATCGTGGAAGGAAGAAAGAGAATGAGGGTTTTGGAAGGCGAAATTCTGACGAATTTTGTCATCGACAAATTGGTAAATTTCGTCAGTTTCTTATATTTTTAACAAACATAACTATGAGGCAATTTCTTTGATCGAAATAATTTCTGAAGGCATTATGTTCTCTGAATAGTAAATATTACTACTTATCACATGTGAGAATTTTCGATTGCGTACCTACGGTCTTTGGCTGGCGGTTAAATTGTGACAGGTTGTTCCTGTCCATTTCTACATATTGTGAAATGGAGGGGCAAGTCTGTCATATCTATAAAACTGACATACAATACCAACGAAAGTTTGCTGAAAAACAAAACCAGAAAAAATCCTTCAGGTCGATTACAAATTCTACACCTGTAATAAAATAAAAAAACACAATATAACT